CCTATTTCTCCCATCCCCAATAAACAGATCTTGAGTATCTTAATCTAGTTGCTGCAATGATATTCAGTCAGTTAGCACATCAATTCTGTAAAAGGACTGAAGAATACAAAGAAACCTAGTTTGCTAAAATGAGGCATCCTCCATTGTTTTATGTAATGTACCCTGACTGCTCCTGAGTAAATACGGAGCTCGTCCTCCATGAGATAAGGCTATATCCTCACTTGTTGGTGAGACCAAATTCTACCCTTAGAAAATCTCAATGAAATCACAGCAAAGGTAGTGTTCAAAGTAATTAACTGAAGTATTTCTGAAGGTAGTGTGTGCACATATTCCACCGCCTTCCCCTCTGGGTGAGCACTAATAGCTTGCTAATTTGTTAAGTAAATCGAATAGTGAGAAGAAAATTATAAAATATAACTATAAATATATGACCCAATAATTATGTCACTGAATAAACAAATTTCTCAAATTCAAAGGTTCATTGTTCTTCTTAGTTTTTCTTTAGTTTAATCCTTCAATTAGTTGAATCGTAGATGAAAAATGTGAGTAATTTTGTATTATAAGATGGCTTTCCAATTTGCAGTGTAAAGCTCCCAGTATGACAGACGTGGTTTCTAAAAGGGGGCTTTTTTTTCCTCTTCTTTTTTAAAAAGTAAAAACAAATATAACTTAGAAAAAAACAAACAAAAGAAAAGCATGCAGGCTCTACAGGCAAGGAGTCCACTTCCATGTATCTGTTCTCTGTGAGGTAACTCAATTCTCTTTTGTAGAGAAACATGCAAAAGGCCAAACATATTCCGAGCCATACTGCACATGAAAAATTTAAAATATGCAACATTCGAAATGCACATTTCATTTCTGTACACACAAGTCAATGCAAAATCTGCAGAGAAACAAGTGTCACAGTAAATGAAATTACGTGCAAACAATGATAGTTGAACAATGATGCAGTAGTGCTCACCCAGTTTGTACAGTAATTGGCACTCTACAGTATTCCTACTCGTTTTTTGATTCATTTGCACTTTGTGCTGCCTCTCCCTGGGGATCTAATTCAATCTTTACAGAAACATCTGGCCCCTCCGACCTCATTAATTTCATCTTTTTCTTTGGAGGGTTTTTCAAAGTGCCCAGCCTCTCCTTTACTTTGTACTCCAGTGTACTGTGGGGAATCCCATAAATACTCTGAGCTTTGGAAACACTCATTTTTCCACTCATAACCACTGAGATTGCTTCCTCCAGTATCTCACTGTTGTACTGTCTGTAACGCCCTCTTTTCTTCCGAGGCTGCTTGGAGCCAGGGTCTCCTTCTTGATCCGATGTGGGATATGGCTGTCCAGAGGTAGACTGCTCAGCATCTGAGCCCCAAGAATCGGGTCCAGCATCTAACATGCTTTTTCTATTTTGTTTTGGAAGAATAGCCCTTAATTTTTTACTAAGCGCGCTCTCCGTTTGTGAACCCATTACCAAAGAGCTATAGCTGTACTGATCACCAGTGCGAGACTCCCAAGAAAGATCCATTCCTCGAACTTGTGGTATCTTTAAGTCTACAGGAGATGAATGGCTCACATCCTTTTTTCCATCTTGTTTTGCTTGAAGTGCCATTTTTGGAAAGGCAGAGTTTTCTGCAAGAAAAGGAAGGTCACTGATGTTGCTGAGTGCACCATTTCCCCTGAACTTCATACGGCTGAGGTTGAACTCATAATGTGGTTTTGCCCAAGAGGCTTCCCTGGATAATATTAAGTGTTGTCCATGATTCTGTAATCCAGATGGCCCAAGGCTGGCAGTTGTGGACAATTGGTTTCTGCTCAGTAGTTCTTCACTAATCTGCAGGGATCGAGCCAGTGGAACTTTGAGTGATGTGGAGTGTCCAAAACCTTCCCTGGTTCCATCCTGTAAGCTTCTTGGAGGTACCCCATCACCACTCCGAAGTCCGTCTGGGCGGTACTGGCTGGGTCTCCCAGGTCGCCTAATTGGATGGAAGGAAACTGATGTGAGCAGGACTTGCACAGGTAGGGAGGGATGGGTGAGGGGACCACTCCTTTATTAGAAGGCCTTGCTTGGGTAACATCACTTTGTGTTATTTATTTATTTTTCTCTAAAATTAAAAAAAAAAATGGTCTCAGCAGTTAGTTTTAAAACTTGTTCACAAAAAAAGGAAAAAGAAAAAAGAAAAAAATCAGGAGCTTTTTGGGCAAAGAAAAATTAAACCTGTCAGCTGGTCTCTGGTTGGGTTCACAAATTTTCGGAGAAAAAGTTTCGCGCAACTGTCTGAAAATAGCATCTTAATTATTAATTACAAAGTAATCATCAGTCTCCATAGATCTACACAGAATTGTGTTACCAATGTGACGTTACCACTAAACAAGTACAGTAATAAAAGAGTAAGCCAAATTATTTATTTTAATTCAGTATAGTCAACATTCATGACAACTAGTTTTAAAACTGGAACCATATACATTATTGGAACTTATAGATAATTCCTCATTTATCCCACAAACATGTTGATGTTCATCATCAAAAATCAAACAATTCCAAATAACATTTCTTATTTTGCTTGGGGAAAAAATACACATATATGGCTAACAGACCCAAGGGTGAAAAAAAATCCCAAACAAACCAAACCAAAAGACCCACTGCATTATAACTTACCACACTTCTTCATTTTAAAACACTATTAGTTATAGACACATGAGTATCATGATTTTCCATTTGAAATAATTCAAGCTTAAAAGAAATTAGTCTTTATTTACCCGTTAAGTTCTACTCAAAGTAATTATTGTCAGAGGGATCTAAACAATTTTTTTAGCAGTTTTCTCTGGCTTAAAAAAGGACTTCCCCTTCTTGAAATACCAAACACCTATTTTCAAATTTCAAGTGGATAGCTTTTAAATAATGTTTAAAAAGTCAACTACTTAGACAACGTTAATTTGTAAGGTTTTTTACTTCCACAATAGAGAAAGATTATCAATATTAAGGCTGACATCTGGCAAAACATACCCAAGGGGATGATTACATTAACTACGCACAAAAGTGGGGCTTTGCAGAAATCATAAACCAGTTATGTTCTACAAAACTCTATGGGGACCTACTATCATCAGTAACGCAATAAGGATAACACTGAATATTCAACTAAAAGATGGGCATTCCTATTGGTGCATTTTTCTTCCATAAAACAAAGCTAGTAGAAAACACTTTCCATTCAGAAGGATAAACACAGCAACTTCAGCCATATAATATGTGAAGCTAGTACGCAAGTTTACAGTGAATCTTAAGCAGGGGATTTGTTTATGCAAACTGCACATGGACTTCTCCTATGTGTGTCCTTAAATACACAACTCAACTGTTTTTTTTTTTGTTTTTGTTTTGGAGACAGGGTCTCGCTCTGTCACCCAGGCTCGAGTACAGTGTTGTGATCACAGCTCACTGCAGCTGTGATCCTCCCACCTCAGCCTCCTGAGTAGCTCGGACTACAGGTGCATACAACCATGCCTAGACAATTTTTGTATTTTTAGTATAGATGGGGTTTCACCATGTTGCCCAGGCTGGTCTCGAGTTCCTGTCCTCAGGTAATCTGGCCGAGTCAGCCTCCCAAAGTGCTGGGATTATAGACGTGGGCCACCATGCCCAGCTCAAGTGTTTTTTTGTTTTTTTTGAGACGGAGTTTCGCTCGTTACCCAGGCTGGAGTGCAATGGCGTGATCTCGGCTCACTGCAACCTCCGCCTCCTGGGTTCAGGCAATTGCTCCTGCCTCAGCCTCCCGAGTAGCTGGGATTACAGACACGCATCACCATGCCCAGCTAATTTTTTTGTGTTTTTAGTAGAGACGGGGTTTCACAATGTTGACCAGGATGGTCTTGATCTCTTGACCTTGTGATCCACCCGCCTCGGCCTCCCAAAGTGCTGGGATTACAGGCGTGAGCCACTGCGCCCGGCCCCAAGTGTTTTTGATATATAAATAGAACCCAAAGATTTGGGACCAGGCTGACATATCTAGTATAAACCATAGTGAAAAGAAAGGGTTAAGAAAAAGGTTAGTAAACTATGCATAATAGATTAATACTTTCTGCAAATGAAAAGTTTCGGAATTAGAGAAAATAAAGGGAGATTTTAAAAGTCTGTAAAGGAATCCTTTGATTTGAAGGTAGTCAACAGTAAGTTGGAAAAGGTCAGTCCACCTAGCATCCACTTGTTCCTTTAATATCTAAGTAACTTCCCCATATTGATAATCTGAAAGTTAAAATAAGCCTAAGTATTAACTAATTTAAACTTACCAAGTTATTCTTCATGTCAAGATAGTTAATTTTTGTCACACGGTTTTATAGAAATGCTTTTTCAACATGGTGCCTAGATATCTTTTTAAAACTTGACATTTCTAGTTGGTTATTACATACACGTACAGAGAAGATGGTTCTTATATAAAATTAGGTAGTCAGAGAATTTAGTATCTTAAGAGTTATGAAAACTGAGCATGTAATAATATCTTGGTAGCCTAAGACGGTTATGCATCAACATCTACAATCAATCTTTCAGAAAATTACATTTTCTGAAATGCCAGTTAAAGTACAGTTTAAATCAACCACCAAAACCAAACCCAAAAGAAACAAACAAAAATGAACATGCACACACACGAACCCCACTAGAGATATCAAGTATTAGAGCTCAATTTTCATTCAACAGCGTCAGCACACATAATACTGTCTTCACATCTAAACTTTAGAATTTAACTTGAGTTTCATACTCCGAAACATGCCACAACAAAAAGTAAAAGAAATATTTCTGCCATATTCATGATTATTTACTATTTGTACTAAACTGACAAATACTCATCTGTACTAGCCAATTTACATTGCACAGATTATATTTTTACTTAATCAATGGTCCATATTTATAAATGACTTAGTTAGAAGGGTTACTTTTTAAAACCTAAAAGGGAGACTGGCATCAACCTTTGATGAATTATCTATATTAAACTGTGTACGACTACAAATATTCTCCCTTACCCGTTCCCTTGAGTACTGGAGCAGCCTGGAGAGTGGCTCAGGGAAGTGCTGCCAGCACATGGACTTTTCTTAGTGGACAGATCAAGTACACCGTCTGCAGAGACACAAAAAAATACCTGAGGACATTAAAAACTTGGAGCATATGTCAACTGAATAGGCTAAATATGAAAAAGCAGTAGGCTTATTCAACTAAGCAGATACGCAAATCATATATTTAAGTTAGAAAATCAATTCAATCCTGAAGCAACATAAATTTAGCAAGGCATGTTATACTTAATATCTGCAAGGGCTAAATATTAACGGGGTAAAAGAAAAGATAAAACATGTTACTGAAGATGTTAAGATACAGTGAGATACTAGAAATAGCAGTTTACATAGCATGAGGTCCTCTGTTCTCACAATTTTTAAGATGCAATTTTCTAAATTTACCTTGATCAAAGCATAGAAGTTTTTAATGTTCTACAGTGGCATACAAACTATAGAACCAAATCCCTCAAGAGCAAAATCTACCTGAAACTCCAAAAGTACATATAAGTTGGATGTAGAAAATTTTAAATAAGATAAAAAAATTATTTTTAAATGTAAATTTATGTCATTAAAGTACATGTATATACTAAACACGATGGTCTTTAAGATGAATCCATTGTTAATGATTTATAATTTGGATGTATCCTAATAGTTCTCTACACGTATCTATAAAAAAATATATACTTGTATTTTTAAAAAATTTGCAGAGATTCAAAATTTAATTGCTGAATTTTATGAATGCAAGAATTAAGACGACATTAAATATTGATGAAAAAAGTTTAAAGAAAGAAGAAAACTGTCTTGATACTGATGAGAACCTGGAAGTACAACCATTTTTTTACTGCAACTAGACCAAATCACAAATTCATGTTATTAATACATAAAGTTAGAAGACTTCCTTTTCCCTCAAAGACATTTTTCTCCTTACAGAAATATGCAGAAATCTTTTAAGACTAGTATTCTGTCCAAAATTAACAGAACGAGATAATACACAATGTCTCTAATTTTCAGTCCGCCAGCAGAGGGGTCTTGATATCTAGTTATGTTAAAAATCACCAGAGGGTAGAACCTACTTACAACTTGTATCTAAAGATATTTTGACTCCCTATTTCAGGCTGCTAGAAATAAACAGGCAACTGAGTTTGTAAACTTTAAAAACCCCATACTTATAAGTGTTTTGTCTTTTAGAGTCACTAATATTTCTAAAAATATAATTATAGGCTTATAGAACCAATTATCCTATTAGACCTCTAACCCAATTAGACACATCTAAGAAGCAAAAGTACTGCTTAAAACATTTCCAGCCAAAGACACTATAATTTAAAGACAAGCCAAACAGATAATTTGTCTAAACAAACAGGCAACATATTTTAGGTCTACCACTAAAAATACTGTGGTTTTAGTTGAAAACACATTCATTAAGGAAATATAATTTAATTTTTTTTACTTCATTTGAAGTCTGCATACTATATTGCTATTATGTAGCTCAAATTCTTCTTTGTAGGAGCATGCTATCAATACAATGTATCTCTTAAGTATAACACTAGTTATAACAAGTTAAATTAGACTAACGTATCATTTTATGTAAACCTACATTAATACTTTAAATATAATTCTATATTGCCATTCTCCCAAAATAAACCTGAAGCTTCTGATGCAAGAGAGTGAAGAGATTTTTAATGAAAACTACCGATTTGTGGAAAAGAAAACAGTCATCAATAAAAAAGATACAACTTTGTAAATACAGTAACCAAAGGTACATGAGCAATGTGAACAACTAGGAGGTCTCCTGTCAAGAAATCTCTCAGAACTCAGGTATTTCGTTTGCTGTTCACTACAAAGGAAAAGGATAAAAGCAAAGAAAAACTACTCAAAAGTTCGTTTCAAAGAGGTTCTTTAGGAATTAAATTTATTTTCCAAAATAAACATGTATTTCTCACCAATAAATCCACATATCTCATAACTTTGCTATATACTCAAGATTTCTACAATAAAATCTCAGTACAAACATCACCGATTTACTAATTTTGCAGTGGTTCAAACAGTGACTGAGTTGAAATGCTTGCCTCAATTTTTGTGAAATTAAAGGTAAAATGAAATCACAAAGCAATAGGAATATCTAATGAAGAAAATAAACTTCAGAGACTCAAGAAACATTTTCTGAACAAAACAACCTCTTAACTTCATCACTTAGTGTCTTCAACAAATTCCCTTTTGGAAATACTTTCAAGTTCGTCAGTGGATATATGTGTTTCTGTATTTACAAAACACTGAACATACTTAACAACCTAAAGAATGTTCTGCTCCTTTCTCTATTTGTAACCCTAGTGATTTATTTTTCAAAATTCAAATACATGTTTTTCCTTATGATCTCATTTGCAGAGTATGTAACTTATACCTACAAGTAGAAATGTATTTCTCAGACAGGTGCTAGTCCTAGAAAATTTATAGGTGAGAGGAAAACTTACTTTTTCACAGGAGTTTTAAGAAACATAAAAATACTTTGGAAAATATAAAATGCTTATATAAATAACAAGCAACTGAAAGATTAGTGACAACTGTAACCACCTGACTTTTCTGGGTGGTACATCAATCATGATCATGAACTGCTGACAGATAAGGCTGTAACAACTTGAGCGTACTTCTCCATCACTGAATAGTAAGAAATAATTTAAGAATCACATTAGTTTTTAAGCTATTATTGCTGCTGATGCTCTACTTGCCAAGGATGCTTTTTGGCTTTTTTTCTCCCCCAATTAAAGTACTCTGATAAGATAGAGGAGAAGTTGACATCAAACCATACCTTGTTCGCTAGGTTCTGACTGAGACTTTCTGACAGTAAGGTCCAGAGGTGAGTCTTGGTCAGCCATGAGAAGTTTGCTGAGCACAGGGTTCTGAGTAGTTGCAGCCGTAGGAGAAGTGGTGACTGGAGATGCTTTCGGCAGGCTTTGGTTCTTTGTGCTATTGGGCTGGCTGGGGTCCTGAGTAGAGCTATTTTTTGAGGTATATTCAGCAGCAAATTGTTGGATCATTCGCTGCATGATCTCACGGGCCACTAGGGGAATATTGGGGTCAGAGACCCAGGGACTGTCTGTAAATAAAGATTTATTTACTTTTAAAGTGGGACAATGTACTAAAAAAAGACAGCTTTTTCAAGTAAACATAAAATTTCACTTTTTCTTAAAATGCAGTTATCTTAAAAATAGTATCTCCCCGTTGACTTATATTTTTACTCTCTAAGCTTTTGAGTTATAGATTTTTAAAAATAAAATTTTCATTAAAATAATTCTAAACATCTTCCCCCCATATAATAATTGATTTTGAAATTAAATAAAGGGAGAAGAAATAGGTATCTTATGGGCAAGAATCACTTACCTGATAGAGAAATCCCAAAACCCTTCTCTTAGGAAATAACTACTCTCACATTAACACACCTATAGATCACAGCAAGTTTCTCTAGATTTTTTTTCCTCAGTCACCTTCTCCTAAATATTCAAAGAACACATTGCTGAGTTCGTGAGTGCTTAATTTACTTTATAAAGACTGAAAGCATACCAAGATTTTAAAAGGAGATACTTAATTTTAAAATCCATTCTAGGCTAAGGCAATCATTCTCACACTTTAATGTTCATCAGAATCACCTTGATGACTTGCAAAAACAGATTGTTGGGTTCTCTCCCCAGTGTTTCTGATTCAGTAGTTCTAGAGTGGGCTCAAGAACTGACATTTTAACAAGTTCTAAGATGCTACTGGGTCTGGGGACCACAATCTTAGACCCTATGGGCTAGTTGTTTAAATGTTAAATCTCAAAAGCCTAAGAAAAACCACATTATCTTCCAAGAGTACTTTAAATAAACCCTGCCAACTAGTAAAACAGTAGCTAGGGAAATAATGAAATAAACATCTAAATTATCAGTTGCTAATCAATGTTAAGTTTTGACCATAAGAACTCATTAACTCATAGAACTTTTAGCACTGGAAGAGGCTTTGAAGGGCAAAAGAGGTTAGGATGGAAGGGAAAATGACTTGTATAAATCCATCATCATCATACCTCTATAATTATCAATCTAATAATCAGGAAGACTAAGCTTTCTCAAGAGCTGAGACTGTGTGTTTTTTCACTGTGTACCTCTATATACCTAACCTTGCCTGGTCTAAAGTATGTATTCAATTTATTTGAATAATAAATAGGTCAATCAAATTCAATCACCATGAAATAGTCCTTTTAAAAAAATAAAACGAGGGAAATGCGTTTACCTCTGTGTACCTCCATATAGCTAATCTTGCCTTGTCTAAAGTGTGTATTCAATTTAGTTGAATACTAAATAGGTCAATCACCATGAAATAGTCCTTTAAAAAAAAGGGGGGGGGGGAATGTGATCAAAAGAGTAAGTGGTCACTACATATTTATATAGATGATTAGTGATAGACCCTCCCTCAATCAAAACTTTTTCCCTGATTTTACTGTTTTACCTGTGACCTTTCTTCTCCACCACACTTTTGGGGCTTTCCAAGACAGTTCTCAGAAAACCAAGGTTTCCCTAGTCTTTTAAAGATTAGTTATAGAAGGCAACCAACTTTACCCACAGTATTTTCAAGCTCTAAGGAACTCAAGAGTTTAATCTAAAATCTCCAAAATAAGCAACCAACAAACAAATACACCATCAAAACCTCACAGGACTCCTAAGAACAGGCATTCCCCCGCCCCCCAGAAGACAATATTCAATACAAGAAGATGCTCACAAAGTTGTGATATTTTATTTCATCTCCTGGAGTTTAATGAGGCTCTCTCTCCTAATAATAATGTTTCTGTCATACTAAGGAATATTTATAACTCTAACTTTCTTCTCTAAAAATAGAGACTGTAAGTATTCCAGATGGTTTAAAAATAAAGGTATGGAACTAGGTAAGGTTCAGAAGTTGCTACAGATAATGACAATGGTTCCTCTAGTGTTTTAATAAACATTGTTTTCATACACTGCTTTTTAAGTATCTCTGTTGAATTTTCTTAGTATCATTTAACTTTCCAGTTAAGACCCTTTTTTTTCTACCTAAACCTCCACATAAACTATCGTATAAATTTCAAGTTTTAATATTAGTTTACGGTTTCCCCCTTAATAGTTGAAGAACATACAATACATAAAAAATTCCATACAGAAAATAAAATTTATGAATTTATGAGATGTCCCTGTGTTTAAGTAGTATTAATAAATATAATTAAAGAGCTCTGTGAAGAGTCAAAGATACCAGGACAAGGACCACAGACCACTATCTTGGAGCATTCAATGTCTGTAGTGTATCTTGTCTTCTTTATTGAATGAAGAAACAGTCACGAGACAAGACAGTGTTTATCCATTACATCACTGCCATTTGAATTTCTCTATTTTGTGAAAGTTTCTTGAACAGATTTCATTCTTTGACATACTTAAAATACACATCTACAAATACATCCAGACCCAGGGGAACATAGCACAACTGAGTCAAATAAAAGCAACAAATCAGATCAAAAATAAAACTCAGAAAAATATGTTACATCACAGCCACCTATATATCTTAAAATGCAAACCTAACTTAGATTTTTTAATACAAGTGACAAAGCAAGCTAAAAATAAATGTCATTATGACATCTGTAGATGGTATATTGTTCTTAAAGTGAAATTAATTGATTCCATATCATAAAAGCCTACTTTTATTCCATCTCTGATTCTACTTAACTATACATAATCTTTACACTAATTATTTAAAACATACCATTTACAATATTTTGAAACAAGGGACCAAATCTAAGCATTTGAATTATTTATTAAAATATGATTCTCTTCAGACTAAAGTGCCCATCATGTCCTTGGAGACTAAACATTTTTGGTATTAATTTAAAGAGTACTAATGACTATCTTGGAGATGCTTATAAGATAAATTATATCCAAAAATAGCAATACTAATACATAAAAGGGAAGAAAATGTCCAAATTCCAAAGCAATAACTCTTTCTCTGGGCATCCCATGCCTGTACATAAAAACCAATAAACTCAACTTACAATTTCAGAGCATTCGCATCTCTTGAAATCTATCCTGAGACTGATTCCAAAGTAATAATTCCTCCCCTAAAGGTTATAACCCAAAACTTTAATTTCTTAAAAAAAAAATTTATAAAAACTTTAAAGTTATTCCTCTATGACAAAGAGATGGGACTAGCAGAAAACTAACACAGAACTTCTCTGTAGGAGTCCTTACATGACTGACCTTATTCCCCCTAAGTAAAGAGTGTATGAAAAGTGATTCCTCCATGTAAATTACTGAGAGGAAGTCCTCTTTTCAGATAATGAAGCTTGCTACAACAACATATTAGATCAATGACTCTGTGTACATCCTTCAGGAGAGGAGCTGTAAAAATATTTTATTTGAGGCCAGGCACGGTGGCTCATGCCTGTAATCCCAGCACTTTGGTGGGAGGCAGAGGCAGGCAGATCACAAGGTCAGGAGTTTGAGACCAGTCTGGCCAATATGGTGAAACCCCGTCTTGACTAAAAATACAAAAATTAGCCAGGCATGGTAGCACGTAACTGTAGTCCCAGCTACTCAGGAGACTGAGGCAGAAGAATATTTTGAACCTTGGAGATGGAGGTTGCAGTGAGCTGAGATTGTGCCACTGCACTCCAACCTAGGCGATAAGAGACTCCATCTCAAAAAATAAAAAATAAAAAATTTTATTTGGTAAGCAAACTGATAGAACTGCTCTATTATTATTTATACTTAAATGTGATTTTAACAATCAAATGTTCATAAAACTAAGAAAACTATTATTTTGAACATAATTTTGGAATTCTGAGCAATCTGTAGGGATAATTAGACACAGCTGGGAGATTTAGGTCAGGAGGTGTTAGTGGTATTTTATAGAGAAGTAAGGATATTCTAAATGATTTAATTCTGCCTAGGGATCTAATGAAAGAAAATGGGGAAAATAAGTGCCACAGAGACAATCTCTGTGTATTTCTTAATTTTATATGACACTACACCTCACATCACCTTTTGGAAATACTGATCGCTTTAAGCAGAAGCCCAGCTAATGTCCAACTCTAAAGAAAACCAACAGAACCAGCACCTATCAGACTTTTAACCAATGTCAAAGGGAAGGAGGGAACTTCCAGAGGAATGAGGTGTAAACTACAACATATGAAGAATTATTAAAGAAAATGGAATCACTGAGTCGGCTGAAGATTAAATAAGAATATTTAAGAATATCAAGAGTTTGTATAAAACTTTAGAACCCATCATAGTAACTACCATCTTGGAAATGGAGAAAAAGTATAACTAAGAAGTATAAATCCATTTAGAATTTCTTAAAAGTAAAGGCTCTTCACTAGAAAGGAACATGAAAGGAACTTTCCTGAAGGTTACAATTTTGCTTTGTAAATAGAGAACAAACCTGAATGCCTCTATGAAGGATTTATAAGCCTCAAGAGCCTATTACTAGAGAACTTTTCTGTATTTCAAAAGAAATGTAAAATAAGCCAAATATACCAAAGTTTCAAGGAGAAAGATAAATTTTAAAAGTGCAAGAGGTTGGGCTTATTAAATGCCAACTCAAATTTAGGGAGAAAAATTTTACTACATAATAATCATTTCCCTAATTTTAATATAAAAAATTTTATGAAACAAGACTATATCAAGGAAAAGAACGCTCACAAATCTAATTTTATAACTACATTTTCTCTCCAAATGAAATTTCAGGTTGGAATTATTAAAAATTCACACAGTTGATTATCAGTGATTAAAACAGTAACGGTCTCCATAAGAAAATTTGTGTAAAAAAATGTAGTGCTATTTTAAAATTAAATAGAATTAAATAGAGCTTAAAATGTTAGAATTTCATAATAATTTTCTAAACTATTTAAACTCACTGTCACATCAGAGCCTAAATGTGTGGAAAAGTGCTTACCTTAACCCTAATTCCAATAGGAATTTGACCCAAGGGATATAGAACAATATAAACTATATCATCAATGAAGAAAAACATTTATTTTAAGAGTAACTTTAAAAATCACATTGAAATTAAGGAGATTAATAATACAAGACAAGCAGATGCTAAATATCATTCTTCACTGAAACCAACCTTTTCTATAAAAGACTGCATTGAGGAATTCTTCTGCTTGTCTCTCGAATCGAATGATTTTTGCTTGCTCTTGTTTAAGCAGAGCTTCTTGCCCAGCTCCCGAAGCTGGTTCATCCAGACCGACTAAGTGTCCCTGCAAAAATACTTGGTGAAAGAGTTGCACAAAAATCTTTCCCCATTCAATATGAAAAGCATAGATATGAAATCAAAGTTAGCAGCAAATAAGGCAAATTAATTTGATGCAATTAAAACATTTAAAAACTTCAGTATAAAATTTACCTTTTAAAAAGTATAAAAGCAAAATAAATGTAAACATATTCTTTGGCTAGATTTTATCCATGTTTGACTATACATTTTGTTCAAAATTTGCATAAACTCTAATTAAACTTTAACTGCCAGAGGGATAATTTCCTTGTGAGCACGTAAATATATTGGTTCTATTATACTATACCATAGTTATCTTTCACAGGCAATCAGACAGAATGCTTTAATTAAAAAAAAAAAATTTTAATTTCAAATCTCATTTGAGGATCATGTTTGCCTTCCTAGTATGAGATCTGTTTTTCACCACACACAAGACAAACACTTTTAAAGGGGCATTAGGAAAAAAACTCAGAATACATCTGAATTCACAATTCTGTCTCCAAATTACTATTTTATAAACTGTGGTTCTCAAACCTTTAGTGGGTTACAGAATTGATTAATTGGTCAAAAGTAACAGCAGCAAAATGAGTTGAGAAATCCAATGCACTGCATGTTCTAAGTGTAAGCACAGCATTATCTTTTGTTAAAATGTATCTATGTTTGAACATCTTTGCAATATAAACAGTGGATCTGGCTGGGTGAGGTGGCTCATGCCTATCACCACTTAGGGAGGCTGAGGCAGACAGATCACTTGAGGTCAGGAGTTTGAGACCAGCCTGGCCAATATGGTAAAACCCAGTCTCTACTAAAAATACAAAAATTAGCGCATGCCTATAATTCCAGCTGTTTGGGAGGCTGAGGCATGAGAACTGCCTGAACCCGAGAGGTGGAGATTGCACTTAGATCACACCACTGCTCTCCAGCTCCGGTGACAAGAGCAAGACTTTGTCTCCAAAAATAAAGTAGATCAGAAAGTTTCTCTGACCAGAAAGTTCCAATATGCTGTACTATACTCATCCCTGAGACTTCAGCATATAATTCCAGACTGCAGGAGCACTGGACCAAATTGACAATGCTTTGCACCTACCTCCACTCTCATATCTTACAGTAACCAAAAATAAAAGTATTTTTTTAAAAAGCTAAAAGCATATTTAATTATTCTTTAAGTTCTAGTGCATATAATTTATTTGAAATCACCTTAATGCATGAATTAATGTCTTTATTTCCATATATAAGTGCTCTGAATAAGAAAATGGAACATATCTTGGCACAATGAAAGGAATTAAACAACACATTGAAGACATGTTATAATGCACAAATGATTCTCTCAAAGATTTAAAAAATACATTCTGATATTTGCAACAAGCTATGATTTCCCATCCTAAGAATTACATTAAAAGCACAACCAAAATCTGTATTCAGCATCAATTATATATTGCAAAAAGGTTAATATGAAGAACTCACTGGCACATTCAAACTAAAATAATGATCCTTAAACACTGCTATATAAGACACAGTAAGTCTGCTATATAACACAAAAAAATTTAAATGAAATATTTTAAGTCTTATAAATCATGAGAACCTTTATTATAGCTGTATTTGCCAACATTCTCTTTTATAAAAGGCTAAAAAACTGTTAGTTTTAAAAAATGAGTAACAAAATAATTCTAATACTGATTTAGTATCTAAAAGGTTATTAGGAACAGTCATCCATTTGAGTCCAATAAAATCCTTAATTGTATTATATTTCGGTACCATTTCACTGATTCAGGCTGTCCAGGTGCAGTAGCTCACGCCTGTAATCCCAGCACTTTGGGAGGCTGAGGCAAGTGGATCACCTGAGGTTGGGAATTTGAGACCAGCCTGATCAAAATGAAGAACCCGTCTCTACTAAAAACACAAAATTAGCCGGGTGTGGTGTTGCATGCCTATAATCCCAGCTACTTGGGAGGCTGAGGCAGGAGAATCGCTCAAACCCGGGAGGCGGAGGTTGCCGTGAGCTGAGATTGCGCCACTGTACTGCAGCGTGGGCAACAAGAGTGAAACTCCATTTCAAAAACTAACACAGAGAGGGCTGTTTCTCTTTCTCTTCTCTTCTACCTATTAAACCTCCACTCCTAAACTCAAAACAAACAAACAAAATCACTAACAAAACCATTCAGACTGCCTTCTAATTTAAAGCAGCACAGAGAAACCTAGCATTCAGTAGGCAAATGCTGCATGTTCTCTCTTGAATCAAACAAGTAACAACTGTATCAACCTGAACTCTGAAATATATACATTACTTTTAGTTGATTTATATCAATTGGATATACCTGTTTTGTTTTAAACACTTTTATGGAGACATAATTCACATAGTAAACAACTCACCCATCTAACATGTAAAATTCAATGGTTTCTGTTTGCAGCTATGACTCTCCATCACCACAATCTAATTTTAGAACATTTTCACACCCCAAAAGGAAATTCGATGTTCATAAACATTCAGTTACAACTTCTCAACTTGCCCCCAACCCTAAGCAACCACTATACTACTTTTTGTCTCTACAGATGTGCCTACCCTGAATATTTCCTATAAATGTGATCATACAATATGTAGTTTTGTGATGACTGACTTTTCTCCTAGAATAATGTTTTCAAGGTTCATCAATGTTGATGCATGTATCAGTACTTTTTACTTTTCTACTGCATTCCATTGTATGAATATATCTCATTTTATTTATCCATTCATTAGTTGACAAATACTTGGGCTGTTTCCACTCTTTGGCTATTACATGCTCAAGTTTTTGTTTGGCCATATATTTTTATTTCTCTTGCATATATACTTAGGAGTAGAATTTCTGTATCATATGTTAACTATTTTGAGGAAGGCCAAACCATTTTCCAAAGCAGCTACATCATTTACATTCCCAACAATGAGTATAAGGATTCTCATTCCCAACAACAATGCATAAGGATTCTGACTTCTCCACATACTCATGAACACATATTATCTTAATTAAACCCGTTTTAGTAGATGAGAGGTAGTATATATCATGGTCTAAGGTTTGTTATTTTACTAACTGACTAATGATGTTGAGCATCTTTTCATGTGCTTCATGACACATTACACCTTCTTTGGAAAAATGTCTATTCAGATCCTTGCTCATTTTTTTACTGAGTTAGTTACCATTTTCTTGTTGCATTGTTAAGAATTCTTGATATATTCTGAAACAATCCATTATTAGACATATGATTTGTGAATATTGTCTCCCATTCTTTGAGTTTTCTTATTATTTCATTGATAGTACTGTTAGCAGCACCCAAGTTTTAACTTCAATGAATTCTAATTTATATTTTTTTGGTCACTTGTGCTTTTGATGTCATACCTAAAAAACTTGGTCATGAAGATCTAATCCTACGCTTTCTTCTAAGAGTTTTATAGTTTTAGGGCTTTAGATCTAGGATGCACGTCAAGTTAATTTTGTGTATGGTGTAAGGAAGGGTCCAACCTCATTCTGTTGCATGTGGATAATCAGTTCCAGCACCTTTTGGTGAAAAAACAATTCTTTCCCCCAAAGAACTGTTTTGGAATACTTGTTAGAAGTCACTGGCCATACATTTTACTGCTGGACACTCTATTCCACTATTTATATCTATCCTCATGCCAGCGTCACATTAAGCTGACCAATGTAGTCTGTAGTAAGTTTTAAAATTGGTAAAGTGTAAATCCTCCCAATTTATTCTTCTTTTACAAAATTGTTTAGACTATTTCAAGTCTCTTAAATTTTCATATGAATTTTAGGACCGGCTTGTGAATCTTGCAAAGTCAGTTGGGATTTTGGTAGAAAATGCACTGAATCAGCGTATCAATTTGGAAAGTAATGTCATAGTAACAATTTTAAGTCTTTTGATCCATGAACATGTCTTTCCATGTAATTTCAGCAACATTTTGTAATTTACAAAATGTAAGTCTTATACATTTATATTTATTCCTAAGTGTTGTATTATTTTTGATGCCACTGTAAACAAAACTGTTTTCAAACTTTCATGCTCATATTGTTCACTGCTAGTGTAGAGCAATACACCTTTTTTTTTTTTTTTCACATGGAGTTTCACACTGTTGCCGGGACTGGAGTGCAGTAGCGTGATCTCAGCTCGCTGGAACCTCCATCTCCCAGGTTCAAGAAATTATTCTTGCCTCAGCCTCCCAAGTAGTTGGAATTACAGACGCCTACCACCATGCCCGCCTAATTTTTTTGCATGTTTTCGGTAGAGATGGGGTTTCACTATGTTGGCCAGGCTGGTCTCAAACCCCTAACCTCATGATCCGCCCGCCTCAGCCAACCAAAGTGCTGGAATTACAGGCATGAGCCACTACATCCGGCTTTTTTTTTTTTTTTAAATGATGTGGTAGTCTGAACCTTGCTGAACTTGCTAAACTGTTTTGTGGAGGGATTTTCTATGTACAGCATAACTGAGACAGTTTTACCTCTTCTTTTGCAATTTGAATGACTTTGGTTTCTTTTTATTGCCTAATTTTCCTGGCTAGACCTCATGTACAATGTTGGATTAAGTGGTGAGAGTGGACATCTTGCCTTGTTCCTGATCTTGGGAAGCTGTTCAATCTTTTAGCTGTGTGATTTTGTAACTCAGGTTAAGGAAGCTCCCTTCTATTCCTGGTTTGTTGGGTTTATTTGTTTTTAAATCAAGAAAACGTGTTGGATTCGGCCAAATGCCTTTTTGGAGAATGTCTACAGAGATGATCATGTGGTTTGTGTCACTTACTCTACTAATATACTGTATTACAGTAATTGACTTTGAGTGTTAAACCAGCCAGGTACAATGGCCCATGCCTGTAATTCCAGCTCTCTGGAAGGCTGAGGCAGGAGGATCACTGGAACTCAGAAGTTTGAGACCAGTCTGGACAACACAGGGAGATTCCATCTCCACAAATCAGTTAAAAAAAAATTATTAACAGATAGGCATAGTGGTGTACACCTGTGGTCA